ATACAACAAGCAATTGTTTTGCAGCTGAGTTATTAACGAAAGAGAAAGTCAATAAAGAGAATCCATCAACGCAGATAGGACCTTTTGAAATGTTTATCTAGAATTGTCACCCCGGGTGAGGCGAGTCTCCGTGCAAATCAAATGGAGAAGCACCTCACCCGATTGTCACTACAATTGTCACTTCACTAGTGACAGCGAGTCACCTCGCCTCACACGCCGCGCAGAATAGACCTAGCTGTCTTGACGGCCAGGCCCATACACAATCCTGCTGTTTACCGTGCATTGTCACTTCCTAATCCATCCAACTCCAACGGGTATTGCCTCTAGTGGTCGACAAAGATCTGTGCAGCTTGAAGCTTCGACCACAACTAGCTCGATCATCTTCGAGCTTCCGTTCATTGTCTGAAACAGTATTGGGAAAATATCAAAAAATCAAATCTCACCAAAGAACAAGATCACGCTTGATTTTCTTAGGCAAATTGGCCTATTCTGCGCGGCTTGTGAGGTGAGGTGACACGCTTGTGAAGCGACAATTGTCACCTCGGGTGAGGTGACTCTCCGTGCAAATCAAATGGAGAGTCACCTCACCTGAGGTGACAATTGTCACTTCACCATCGCTTCACTGTCACCTCACGTCACACGCCGCGCAGAATAGGCCCAAAAAATCAACAAGCAAAGAATTGCGGTTGATATTGCAAGCCGTGATATCGCAAGTCAGATTATCAAGCTAACAAAAACTCACCAGCTGCAATTCTCTCCAAAACTGTGGTGAGATTGAGTTACTTGATTTTTACTTTACACCCGAACGCAACCGAAACGGCCATAACGGGTGGCGGCAGTCGCTTCGTGTCTGCCATAGGTGAGGAGAAATTTTTTTGCGTCGGTTCAACACGTTGTGAATAGATCTTGTAAAATCAATATCAAGCATGATATTTTGCTCCAATATCACACGCGTGAGAGCGGAAAAATATCAATTTGCTAATGACATTTGAATTTGCTTTCGAAGTTGAAAATTATTGTCAGCCCAGCCAGAAAGAAAGTCAAGCCTAGCCGTTTTAATTTGTGATTTATGGATTCGGTTCGAGATTCAAGTAATACTGAAAAAGGGGTTCTTCCTGGTGGTCGAATGCAGTTCACTTGCGCTTGTTTTTTGTTTGGCTTTAACCGACTTGTTAACTTTGCATACTTTGGAGGAAGTAAGACTGTTATTCGACCTAACGCTGTTTCGACCAAGCACCTTTTCGAGCAGGAAGCCGTTCGAACAAATCACTGCTCAGTTGTTTAAAATTTTTTGAGATAACTCACAAATCCGGAGTGATTGGAGTAATTGCTTTTGTAAACAAACACGTCAATTACTGATTTCTCTTGAATAAAAGCTCAATCTCACAAACAAACTATACCAAATGATTTTGGCAGTGCCGAAAACTGTGCCAAGCATTGTGCCGATCATTCCGAAGTAGGCTGAAGTGTATCAATCAAGGTGTCAAAATATTCCATGAGTTTGGCAACCCTGAAGTAAGACTTTTGTGATTGTGTTTACATTTTCAATTTATCTAATTCATGACCATGGTTCATGGCCAATATTAAGCTTCATTCTCATTAGAATGAAAGCGGATTGGGCAGTGGAAGAGGAACTGGAAGCAATAGTCCACTAGAAACGGACGGTGGACGAAATTTTCACCAGCTGCCAGTAAAATGTTCCCCAACAAAATCAAACCCAGAACACGAACGGACGAACCCTAGAAACAACATTCTCGAATCAGTTCCGATCGACTCAGAACTACGCAAACTCGAAGACATCACCCAAGCCTATCGTATCGCAGATTGTGATGTATCCTACCATCACCCAATTAATCACGTTCAAGCCTATCAAGTTCACGATCCTTGGCAGATGTGAAACCTTCCGCAAGTTACCACCAATCAAAACCAATGGCCAATGTACCACCACCAGTGAAAACCATCTAAAAATCGTACGTCTTGGCAATGGATGCATAGCTAGCCTTGGCGAAGTTACCCAGAATTGTAGTCGAGCCGCGGGTCATGGTATAACAATCCTCGATACCAGCTATCTGGAGCAGCTTCTTCGGGACCGGAGCCGAAACGATACCGGTACCACGGGGAGCCGGAATCAGATGTACCAGAACGGAACCGCACTTGCCGAAGACCTTGCACGGCACGGTGTGGGGCTTACCGATCTTGTTACCCCAGTAGCCTTGACGCACCGGAACAACGGACAGTTTGGCCAGAATGATGGCACCACGAATAGCAGTGGCAAATTTCTTGCTGCACTTGACGCCCAGACCGTTGTGGCCATTGCTGTCTGCTTCTGGACGGGCATAATCTTCAGGACCTCATCTTTCAAAGAGCGGGCCAGGAAGAAATCGATGATTTCGAACTCTTTGATCGGCAGAGAGTACAAGTATGCGAATCTTGCCATCACGCACCAGACGACCCAACTTGGTTACTGGAACCCACTCCTTCGAGTCTTTCTTGCCACCGCGATCGCGACCGCGTCCACGACCTCGGCCTCCACGACCGCCGCTGCAAGGAACCAAATCCTCCTCTAAATCCAACACGTTGGGCTGGAGCTGCGTCCGCCATTTTGTAGGTAGGTGCTGTTTGCTGTTGAACGGAAACCGGAACTTAACATCCCGTGATGTTTGCCAAAGATGGTCTCATCGTTGTCGTATAGCACGTTTGACTTCCCTTATCGCGTGCATGGCTGGTATTTCGATATAAAGTGGAACGTTGCTTCTAGCTTCACCAGCAAGACGGTCTGCTATAACATTTTTCATTGGATGCCTGCATGGCCGGGGATCCAGCAGAATTGGACGTTTTTGGATTGGATTGCCGTTTGGATCTACCCGTCTCCAGCGCAGATAAACAGCTGGGAGAGTCCGTTAGAATGGTTATTGGTGTCTTGCGTGAAGTGTTACCTATGCCGAAACGGCCTGCGCCGACTGTATCGTCGTCTTTGAATCCGTCAGTGTATAGCAGGGTACGTCCTTGAAAAAGTCGCTCGGTTACCTCTTGTACTGAAGGACGGACTTTTTCCGGAGGATCCCCAGCCCAGATGATCGTTGGTTTTGGAACACTCCATTCGCTGTCTGTGTTCCTATGACGTTGGCAGATTTGGGGGATAGTTGCATTGCTTTCTCTTCGGTGAAAATCTTTGCTGTTCTTTGTACGACTGGAAGCTCGGAAGCATCACTAGTTTTCTCCAGAAGGCGAATAGATAGTCATGCTAACGACTGTAGGACCAGCAAGTCGAACGGTAACACGCCAACCTCGGCCATGATAGCGCCGGTTGTAGGTTGAGGATAGTATGGCAACCATGTATCCTCCTCTGCTGACTAGACCCATTGCGTAGAGGAGACGTGACATGATGATCGCAGATCCTACATGCAGCAGTGAATGACGTGCTCCTCGAGGTAACTTTGCTGCAACCATTGTCAGGATTCGTAGTCGCGTGGCGCAGTTTTTAGCAGTCTGGTTCCGATCCAGTGTGACTCCCAAAACTTTAAGCTGCTTTGTTTTTGGAACTGGAATTCGATCAATGGTTGTGTCTTTCTTAGGCTGCCGACGAGCATTTGGGCTACCGTAGAAGATGTTTGATTTGTTCGACGATATACAAAATCCAATGCCTGCTTTCCGACCTAAGAGGTGGTTCTTTCGACCTACTAGGACCAATCAAGAAGAGCCACGAAACATAGGTTGCATTGCCACGAGGAACAAAGTGACAGACAATAAAGAACCTTGTGGGACTCCGTTCTCGATTGGATATAGACCTGAGTGATGTCCTCCTACGGCTACCTTAAATATTCGGTCCGCGAGGAAGCTGTTTAGAATGTTGTACATGCGCTCCGCTACGCGCCATTGCTTCAATGACCGTAAAATTCCGTGTCTCCAGGTGGTGTCGTAGGCTTTGGATAAGTCCAAAGAAGCGATTAAGCAATGCTCGTCCTTTGCAGCTAGGTAGCTTCCAAGTTCGGCAAAATGCGTGTCAGTACCGTGGCCGGATCGTAATTCTCCTAGGTATATTGCCATGCTTTTAAAGTGTCTTTATATTTATTTCCACTAGTGTATAAAGAGGCTGTTACTCTGTGGAAGAATACCTCTCCAGACGTTTGGGAATACTTTTCACAAAGCTCTTTTTGGTCGAAAGCTGATCGTTCCAATCTGCCTTCCATCGAAGACATCAAATCAAGAAGACTGGCAACTCTGCCATTTTCTCATACGACCGCTATGACACCGGCACAGTCACGTCATCTGCCGCGAAAAGGTAAATGCTCCGAACGAATTGGATAGCAAAGATTACAACCTCAATGGTTTGTGTATTTGCACATTTCTCTATGCGTTACTTTTACTGTATCTGTCGCTTGGATTATGGCAGAGTTGCCAGTCTTCTTGATATGTTGTCTTCGCTTCCATTCAACAAACTCCATTTCCCTCAGCAATTTAATTTCGAATAACAAACCCCTCCCCCACCTTTCTCACCACTGGCATCGGAAAGTCGTCGGTCGAGCCAGAATTCCTTTCTCTTTTATCCACCCAAAATCGAAATCACCCATTTTCTCTATTCAAAAAAATCGATCTGCATTTTTCTTATAACTTGGAAAATGTTAAAGCGATAGTGTAAAACAACAACTTAATCGGGTAAATAAAAAAAAAATATGTCCATACCATGCTGATCTGCTGCCGCGCGCCGTCCAAAAACTTTCTTCTTTTTGTTTAGGTCACTCTGCCTCAGCGAGCTGATGTTCTTTTCTTCGTAATAAGTCCTATTTACACAACCGACAACCGTAGCAAAAACCGGAAACAAACGGTTAATAGCTTGCTCTTTTTGTTTCTCCCGTTAGGATTGTTTTGTTCGATTTTCTGCTAAATAACTATTATCTTGATTCGCCTGCTCTGCTATTTTTCTGCTATTGTTTTTTGTTTGTTTGTTTGGAACATCATTCATGAACGAGCTTGGTTTTTTTTTTCACAGCAAACATTGATTTTTTTGCATTGTTTTTTTTTTTTACTTTTAAATTCTTCTAGGGTTAGGATGAAGGATGATGGTTCCGTGCATGTCTCCTTCGCTCCTCCGCTTTAGGATTTCGTTTGTTTTGATGTGTGCGTGAACTGTTTTTTTGTTTGTTTGTATTGGTTGGGAACGCGGGGATGTGGTTACCATCTATTGTGTTCTATGTTTTTTGTCAAGGGTTTTGCTAAGCACATCACATTTGCTTGTATTTGTTTTGTTTGGTTTTTGGTTTTACTTACACAGTACGAACATCTCTCGGATTGACCTCGGCAAATGCCGCCGACGCTGCCGCCGCCACCGCCGTCGCTATCGACGCCGTCTACTTGGACGATTTGGATGACGTGGGCGGCGAAACGTTGTTGTTGTTGTTGTTGATTCTATGATTATTGTTACTATTGGTCAGATTACCACAGGTAGCAGTAATCGCTGCGATGTTGATCGCATTCGTCGTCGTCGCCATCATCATCGGAGTTGTTGCCGTCACCGTCGCAAGGTTGGCAGCAACGGCAAGGACAGTGCTGCCAACATTGGTGACGATGCTGTTGTTGTGGTTGATGTTGTTGATGTTTATGTGGTTATTGTTAGGCCCAGCAGCGCTTTTCAACAAACTGCTGTTGAAAAACAGCTAAGACGAACTGGACTGGTTCATGTTGCCAAACATCCCCGTGGAGAAGGACGTCTGTTGTCCGGCTTGATTGCCACCGCCGCCGGCCGACCCACCGGAGCCACCACCGCCGCCGCCGGCCCCGCTGCCGGCTCCGGCCTGACCGCTGACACCGCTGTTGCCGCTGCCGTGCTGATTGCTGGAGGCAGCCGCCGCCGATCGGTTATGCTTGGAAACCGGCGGCTGCAGGTATTCGTGCTTGGCCAGCGCGAACACGTCCATGCGGTCCTCCTTGCGGTAGGCCAAGCAGCCTCGGATGAAACTCTGTGGAAAGAAGGGAGACGGAGAATGGGGGTTGTTAGATGGTGGGTTTGGCGACTCTAAATTGATCTGACATTTCGTCGGGAAATGTAACCCCAACAGTATGGCAACACTTCGCGTGAAGCTTTCTTCATATCCTTTCCGGAAATTCCTACATGTTGCAAGGTACAGCCTTGCAGTTGGGGGCTCATATAGCTAAGTCAGTTCATGCACGTTTTGCTCCCTATCAACGAATGGGAGCCAATACAAACCACCCAGAGCTGTCAAAATTTACGGATAGGGAGCAGAAAACATTCGTGGACTGATCTATTACCAAGCCGGACAGGGTTGGTTCCTAGACATCTCTAGAAAGTACTTCTGAATTCTGTGTGAATTTCTCCAGGACTGCAGTTCTCGATTTATGAATTCCACCTCGGCTTTAAGTACAATCTTGACTATGGATCTATCCTGAGCTTATCTAGAAACTATTTTTGGTCGTCTTCCAAAATAACTGTCTAGCTGGACTGTCATGTAAGCTCTCGAACATGATACTCAAATAATTATTTCCGAACTACTTTTTACATGTTACCCAGAGTTCTATGACTTTCTTCGAAATAACTCAGGAAATTCCTCCAAGACCTGGCTACAAATTCCCCCTAGGCCTATTTGCAAAGTCTTCCTTGAAATTTCTTTTGGACTCTACTGCGGATTCCTTGTTATCTTCTGTATACTTCCTGAGCTTCCCTTTCTTCTGTACGAATTTCTCTTGAAGCTCTCATTGCAGTCTGCATAGATTTCATAAAGAATCCTTTAAATTCGCTCAGAAATCCTATTGGAATTTAAAGGTTTCTAGACCGTCATGGAAACACGACTGGTAATGACTAGTACTACAGACATTTTATTCAATATCACATTCAACGCTTACTACAAGATCCCTTCCTTAACCGTGAATTTGATTTATTCCTAAATCCTTAACAGCTTCACTGAAACGTCTTGGAGGGTATTGGACCCTTCAGTCGAGTTGCTTCAGCTTTCGCCTTCACTCCTCCTCAAGCTCGACGCACTGAAGGTCAATCTTCTTCCGCAACAACTGCTCTAGTGTGACTCTTGCTAACGGCTCTTCGTGAGTACGTCAGCAACCATCAGCTCCGTAGGGCAATAAACGTTCATACCAACTCCTTGACGAAATTGTACCTTGTGTCAATGTGTCAGACCGCAGCATCGCAATACAGCTTTGATTGTCCTCCTGTACCGTGATGGGTTTGGCAACGATCTCTCCTACGTCCTTCATCAGCTTAAGAAGCCAGAGTAACTCACGACTAGCTTCTGATAAGGCGACATATTCCGCTTCGGTTGAAGAAAGTGTGACGCACTGCTGCTTCCTAGCCGTCCAGCAAATTAATCCGCCATGTCGAAAAACGAATGCAGTGTTGCTTTTCCGGTCCGCACGATCACCAGCCCAGTCAGCGTATACGCATGCTTCTAGTGGTCCTGCATCTCCTAGCTTCAATCTCAAGAATGGATGCGCTAATGGCAATGTCAGGTTCTCGTATTCTCCGCAATATATAGCAAAGCACTCACTAAGCTTTGGAACTCCTCGTTCCGCGGCATCGGATCCTCCTCCATTTGTTGTAGATTCGGATATCCGAGGTCCATTGGAATGTGAGACGGCTTCGCTTTGTCTTGTCCAAACTTAGCCGCTACCCCCTCAGGATGTAAGCGCGCTGATTCAACAGGAACTGGCCACTTTGCGTTCTCTGAATCTGGATACCGAAACAGCTCCAAGACATGTGATTTTAAAATATCGCTGCAGAAATTTACAAACCCTTCCGTATTCTTCTTCGTTTTGCGTTACAATGTGCATATCGTCTACATAGAGCAAGACGAAAGACTTCCTTCCGTGGCATGTTCTCACGTACGGTACGTATCCGAGCTCCTGTAACACCTCGCTGATTTTTTTCCATTGCACACTCTTTCCCGCCTGTTTCAAACTATACAGGCTCTTTCGCAAACGGCAGACATCATTCTTGGCACCAGACGCAAATCCAGCAGGCTGCTTCATAAAGATCGTCTCGGATAATTCACCATAAAGGTATGCCGTTTTGACATCAACGTGCTGCACTATGAGGTTCCGACGTGCAGCGATACTCAGGAGTGTACGAAGAGTCGTTTGCTTCGCAACCGGTGCAAATATTTCGTCATAGTCCGTTCCGTACTTCTGGTTGTATCCTTGGGCAACTAGACGAGCTTTGTAGCGTATTATGATACCGTTATCATCGAACTTCTGCTTAAAAATCCACTTGCTTCCGATGGCCTTCCTGTCAGCGGGGAGTCTGACTACTTCCCAAGTGGCACTGCTCGCTTTCGGGGCAATCCATGGCTTCCTGATATCAATTTGGCTCATGTCGATGTTCCGTTACCAACGTGACTACATCTGGATAACGACTCGGCGGTACACCTTTATTTGCACGGTCGGACCGCCGTGGAGTGTCAACACCATTCTCCTCCTGTCCATCGGTTGATCCACTCTCCTCCAAAGTTTGGTCTTCATCGTCGGTCGTATGATTTTGAAAATCATCATAAGTTGACTCGTAGCCGTAGAAATCCTCATCGCTGGAATCACCGTCTTCGTCGTGAACCTCCTCCGGCGTTAGGAATAGTACATCACGGCTCACAGTTAGCTTGTCGTACTCAGGATCCATGAAGCGATACGCCTTGTGCTGCAGAGAATATCCAATGAACACCAGTTTTCTTGATTTCGCCTCTAGCTTGGATCTCTTCTGTTGGGCAATCCACACGTACGCTGGTGATCCAAAAATCTTCAAATGACTTAGATCCGGCTTCGATCCACTCCACATTTCGATCGGAGTCTTCTGCAAAGGTTTGGTTGGCAAACGGTTCTGCAAATAATTGGCCGTGTTGACAGCCTCTGCCCAGTACTTCAACGGCAAACGTGAATCGATGAGCATGCAACGCGCCATCTTCACCAGTGAACGATTCTTTCGCTCCAATACACCGTTCTGCAACGGTAAACTGCTGCTTGATTCCCTTCTTCTTTGCAGAATCCATCCAACGCGTCGTTTTGGAACTCACCACCTTGATCTGAACCTCTCACCTCTGATTTGTTTTCAGGAAATACACGCCACAATAGCGGGTGAAATCGTCGATCAGAGTTAGGAAATATCGACATCCCCCAGGCGTTGTTGTTCGCATAGGACCGCATACGTCCGAATGAATAAGATCCAGGTTTGATTTGCGTTTTGTCTTTTTCGGGAACGGAAGACGCGTCAGCTTTCCTTCCAGACAACATTCGCACACTGCACGGCAGCCACAGTCTTGAACATTGATTCCGGTCGCCAATTCCTTGGTCTCGAGCTCTCGAACGGCATCATGGATCACGGTGTCCTAAGATGCGATGCCACGTGTGTTGACAACTTGATGTGTGCTTGCTCTCTCTTGACGCTAATGATTCGTGAGCAATAGTCAAATAGTACAATCCACCAGTAGATGTAGCACCACCGACAAGCTTCTCACCTTTCAAAATACGGCACCCATTGGCATCGAAGACCATAGTAGCACCTTTCACGGTAAGCTTCTTCACGGAGATGAGGTTCGACTCAAAATCCAGCACGTACAATATCATCTGTGAGGGCTACTTTGGAGTGTCCGATTCCCTTTGCAGACGCTTTCTTGCCGTCCGCCAAAATGACTTCCTGCTGCACGCTTCCACCCAAATCCTCAAACGAATCCAAATCCTGAGTCGTTCACCCACGCATTTACCAGGTTCATGTTGCTTCTTGCCGCAAACGAGTATTCCGGCTTCGCTTCGCTCCGGATTTCTGACCACGAGACTTGCTCTGGCTTCCTTCTTGTTTCATCATTGCGCCGACAATCCTTTTGCTTATGGCCAGGCTTTTGACGTGGATTTAATCAATTCCAGAGTGAGCTCGTCGTCTGCTCTGCTCTCCAGCGCCGTAGTTAAAGTATTGAACGATTCCAGTAAGCTACGGAGTATCATGGCCACCTGCAGACTCTGGTTCCATTCCTGGCCCGCAACCGTCAGCCGCTCGAAAAACTCAGAGAAAAAGAAAGACAACACTGTACTTGTCGAGTGACTAATGCAAACGGAGTTTATTGAAATCAAATTATTATCTGCTGTGATTGGACCCTTCAGTCGAGTTGCTTCAGCTTTCTCCTTCAAAACGGTTACCCGCGGAATGGGCTTGGTGAGAACGTCCGTCTTCTGAAGCTCGGATTTGACGTGATGTAGCGAGATCGCCTCTCGTACGAAGTGGTGCCTCAGGTCGTGGCGAATAGCCGATCTCCTTCTCCGCCAAACATATCGCACTTTGGTTGTCACATCAGATTGGGACTGTAACAGCTGGCCAAAGAAATCCGCGCCACCAAACAGCTTCCTGTGTCGCACCTGACAGAGCCATATATTCCGCTTCAGTAGTCGACAATGTCACAGTTGGTTGTCGCCTACAACTCCATGCCACTGATCCGCCACAGTACTGAAACGTGTACCCTGTGACAGAACGACGGCTTTCAAGGTCGTTGCCCCAATCTGCGTCACTGATTGCTTCGAACAATGGTTCCGATTGCTTCCGGAAAATAGGCTTCTTCGATTTTGTGCCCTTAGGGTATCGAAGAATCCTTTTGGTCGCTGGGGTTACGCTGAAACTGCTCACCACGTTTACGGCATAAGCCACATCCGGCCATGTGCAGTGCGCTAGAAGCTACAATCCTCCTACCAATTCGCGAAACGGAATCCTTTCCATTGGTTGCTTCTGTTGCTCGGTTGATTCCATCTTCGTCAAACGCCGATGTGGGTCCATGGGCGTCGATACTGTATTGCAGTTGATCATGTTGAACAGCTCCAGTAGTTCATCTAGATACCTTTCTTGATCCAGCATAACTCTCACAGGTTTTTCATATGAAACTTCGCCATTAACTGCTTCTTCACGGTATCGATTAAAGTTTGATCCGTCGAAAACAGCAAGAAGTCATCCACCTAGACGGCGATTACAAGTATTGGGTTGCCTTCTGTTTTGAAATACACGCACCGATCGTACCTAGATCGCTTCAAACCCATGCGTTTCAGCTCCGCGTCCAACTGCGAATTCCAGACTCGGCTTGCTTGCTTCAATCCATACAGCCCCTTTACCAAACGACAAACTTTCTTGTCGACGAATCCTTCCGGTTGCTTCATGCATATTTCTTCACCGGAGATCTATCCCCGAAGAAACGCCGTTACCGCATCCATTTGGTGTATATGCAATCCTTGCTGCACCACCAAGAGTAGGTCTCTTTGATCTGCGAGAATCCTTTGATAACAAAGTCTTGCCTTGTAGCTTTCCACGGATCCGGATCCGTCCGGATTCAACTTCCGCTTGAAGATCCATTCAGACTTCAAAGGCTTCCCGCCTACCGGTAGCTCGATTAGCTTCCAAGTATTGTTGATGATCAACGAACGCATCTTAGCTTCCATAGCCTCACGCCACTGCTCACGATTGTCAGCCTCCATTGCCTCACCGACTGACTACGGCTCGATATCCTTTCATACTAGTCGGTTACCTGGGGTTCAACGAACGTTTCAGGACGTACACTGTATGTCATATCAAATGACAACATTTTGCTGCTCTTCTTGTTGCGAGGGGAGCGCAGTCGAGGTTACCAGAATCGTCTCATCTGTCGTAATCCGTTTCGTCTTCAAAATCATCCTCTCTTAAATCGTAGATCTCTTTGAAATTAACTCCCTTGATCTGCGAGAATCTTTTAATAACAAAGTCTTGCCTTGTAGCTTTCCACGGATCCGTCCGGATTCAACTTCCCCTTGAAGATCCATTCAGACTTCAAAGGCTTCCCGCCTACCGGTAGCTCGAATAGCTTCCATTCCATGTCTTGTTGATGGTCAACGAATGCATCGTAGCTTCCATAGCCTCACCGACTGACTGCGGCTCGATTATTCTCTCATGCTCGTCTGTTCCCTGGGGTTCAACAAACGTTTCAGGACGTACACGGTGGTTCATATCAAAATGTTGATAGTTGCCTGGAGTTCGGCGATCCCGCTCGCTGCGTCTGACAACATTTTGCTGCTCTCCTTGTTGCGAGAGGAGCGCAGACGAGGTTACCAGAATCGTCTCAATGGTGCCGTTTGCACTGTCGTAATCCATTTCGTCTTCAGAATCGTCCTCTTCCAAAAGGCTTCCTGGTGCTCTTCCATTGAGTTCGGCAAAAACTGCTGGTGATCCGGTAGCTTCACTACCCTCTACGATTTCATCATTCAACAACTCCATCATCATTTCATTCACAGGTTCAACTTCCGACCTCTGTTCAGTATTTCCGCTACCCTTCGGTCAGAAAGACGACATCACATGACACAAAGACTTTGCCACTTCTCGGAGTGAAGATGGGAATATCCAACGAAAACGCCAGGTTCACATTTCGGGGTCTGGAGGTGGCTGGGTTCAATTCCCGGTTCGGTCTAGGAATTTTTCGGGTTGGAAAATTTCTCGACTTCCCGGGGCATAATAGAGTATGATTGGACTTGCCTTACAATTATACCAATGCAAAAATGGTACAGGCATCGAAAGCTCTCAATTAATAACTGTGGAAGTGCATCTAGAACACTAAGTTGAGAGCACGCAATAAGCTAATATGCGATATGCAATAAGCTTGAAATGCGAAAAAGAAGAAGAAGACGTTTCGGGTCCTACTTTGATCGCTTTACCTTGGGCAAATTTCATCACGTAGTTTAGCCAGGTCTGGCCGCACACCAGTGAACCGTTCTTCCGGGGTCACTTGTAAACCTTTCGTCGGTGATCGGTTGATCAGGAATACAACAGTTGAAACAGCCTCCGCGCAAAATCGCTTCTACAGATTCGCATCAAACAGAAGGCATCGCGCTCGTTCAACGATCGTTCGATTCGCTCTCTCAGCTAGACCGTTCGACTCCGGATTGTACGGCACCGTAACCTCGTGGTGCATCCCGGTTCTGCGAAGAAATTTTTCAAACTCACAGTTTACTTATTCTGTGTAATTATCGGACCGTATGCGCTTGAACCGTTTGCCGGACTGGTTTTCCACCATCGACTTGCAATCTTGAAAACACTGCAGAACTTGCTGTTTCGACTTCAGAAAATACACAAACATCTTGCGGCTGTTGTCGTCCGTCAATGAATGTTAGGAAATATCGACTACCACCGATGGACACATTCTCCATCGGGCCACATAAATCGCTATGGATCAGCTCAAGCACTGCTCCTGCAAGAGCTCCGCTCTTCTTGAAAGGATGACGGAAATGTTTTCCCTTCAAGCACACAATACAAGCCTGGATCTCTGCATCAACGAAATCGATCCCTGTTGCTATGAACCTGAGCATCTTGAAGCTCGATGGCATGGCAATGACCACCACCTCGTTGGAAGCCGATCGCATCTCGCATGCATCTTTCGAGAACGTTATCGTACTCACGGATATCAAGTTGATCGCCAGATCGGGAATGCACAGCACGTTGGACAAATCAACATTGCAACATCGCCGACATCTGCTTCGATCTTCACGCTGCCAACGGTGTGTACCGTCGACACAGCATTGTTTGCCACTCAGGTTCACTGCTGATCCACCTTCGCATCTTCCAGTGTAATGCCGCTGTGACACATGTGCGAAGCGGCACCTGAATTGAATATCCAACCCACCTCGTACCGGGCTTGTTCGATTTGGCCTTCTTCTGCTTCTCATCCTTCATTGGACACTCCGCAGAATAGTGCCCCAAACGCTTGCACTTGTAGCATTTACGCCAACCTTGTTGAATGATTTCGACCCTTTCTGCTGCTGGGAATAGAACGCACCATCATGTCCGCTTAAGCTTGAATTGTTGGAAACCTTGACAACTTGTAGAATCTTGGCCTTTATCGCATCCGCCGTGATCTTCCTTCCAGACGCCTCGAGGCCCATTACCATCGGTTCGAGTCCCATCAGCAGCAGACTGGCACTCGTCATCAACCTTGAATTCTGCATCGGTCAACTTATGACTTCTAGATAGAGCTGGAATTAGGGCGTAACAGCTTCTGTAAACAATGACTTCTCTCTCGATGATTTCTAGAAACTCAAGGCTCGCCCAAGCAAATCAATAGCACCATCAGATAGGGGAAGTATTTCCCTACCCGATGGTCATGTTGGTTTGCGTGGCCGCACCTTTTTTTTGTTGCTTTATTATAGAGACTGTTAGCCTTTAGTTGGTTCGTCTCTTTGATGGATTGGGGCTCCTGAGGGGTCCCGGAGAGAAAATAAATAAATTACAGAGTTTAAATATCTCAGAGTTCTGTGTCGATTGTTTTAACAGTAAGGAAGGTGAACGAAGTTGTGGTTAATTTCCGAGAGAGAGAGAGTCAATGTCCGTAGCCTGCGGGGTTGTTATCGTTGTTCTTCCGTTTGACATGTCATTTAGAGAGTTGGTATTGTCCAAGTGCCGTCGTTCGTCCGTTGTCGTGTCATTGTTTGTTGCGGGGTTCTACGTATATTGATAATAGCCTGTGTCTTTAAGGAAGTCGAGAAGTGATCTTTCCCTGTCTGGGTCATTGGATAATGCGTCTCTGATGCTGAGACCGATACCGTATTGGTCTCGGAGGTTTTGATGTGCAATTTATTATGAGATACTCAACTGACATTTTGGTTGAGCACCCCATACATTGTTTGTGGAATCCATCACGGGATCCGAGATCGTGTGAGAATCTGGTGTAGCCGCAGCGTAATCTGGACAGTACTCTCTGGTCCTTCCAGTCTTTGGTGTCGGACCAGCATTTCGTATCTCCTTTTATTTTGCGTAAGAAAGGGTCTCGGGTATTAGCCCATTCCTTGTCCCATGCCGAAGCGATGATCGTTTTGATCCAGATTTTTAAATCCGCTGCAGGGACTTCCGGTTCCACTGGGATTTTGAGCGCACCTTGAATTTCTATAAATCATCGAAAGAAGTCATTGTTTACAAAAACTGTTAGGCCCTAACTCCAGCTCTACCTAGACTTGTACTCATCATCTCATTTACGTACGCTTCCACGGTGGAGTAGTCGTCTAGACGGATACTGGTCAACTTACGAAGTAATCCAATTCGTCGTCTTGGAAAGCGTTCTTCTCTACAATGAAACCATACTAACCCAATTTTCTTCAGCAATGAATTTTAGGCCACAATGATTAGCAAATAAACCAAATGCAGCTTAGGTAAAACATGTTCATCGATCATGCAACCATTTAGAAAATCAAGTTAACAAGATTGGGCAGTCCTGCTAGTAATTTCCCTAAAAAAATGTCTGCGAATTCTTCCTGAAGTTCTCTAGAATTTACCCTAGGAACTCGTTCATAAATCTTCTTCTGGAAGTTCCCCTGAATCTCGCTGCATTCCCGTTCTCGCCCAACAGCTACATTGAGCCAACGACAACCCACTTGTGCCGCTAACCTTGCTAACGCTGTGAACCCGCGTATCTACTACGAACTACTGTCCTTCACACTCACCTTGGCTTCATTCGAGACGGTCGGTTTGTTGGCGAACTGCACCTCGGTCGCCTTCAGGATGGTGTTCTCCTCCAGGATCGTTGCTTGCGACTGGTTGTGCCCGAAGGGCTTCTTCCCGTAGAGACACTGGTAGAATATCACCCCGACGCTCCACACGTCCACCTTGGAGGAAATCTTCGGCGGATTCTTGCCGACGACGAAGCACTCCGGCGGTAAATACCTAGACGGGCGAAGAAAAACAAAACAAAAAACAGAAAACGTAGCGCATCAGTATAGGTCGATTGCCGGACAGGCACACAGCTTCAAGCGCTGCTGTGGTGTGGGAAACTCGTCCCGTGCCGGCGTTTTCGGGCGCTCCATACAGTCATGGCGCCGCCACCAGCCGGACGGACGAGGTTGGAAAGAAAATCTTCATTTTCTATTCCGGGTTGCTCACCAATAAGTTCCAGCACCTTGTGACGTTAGATCCATACCGTGGTCCGGATTGTAGTTCTCTTCGTCCATTACCTTGGACAGACCGAAGTCGGTAATTTTGATCTCACCGCACACGTTGCCCTCCGTCAGCAGGATGTTGCCCGGCTTCAGGTCGTAGTGGATGATCGGGGGTTTGATTTCGTTTAGGTATTTGAGCGCCGATACCACCTAAGGAAAAGGAAATCCGAATGAATAACTGATTCCGGGAATGAGAGTAAGGGTCACCATTACCTGCATGATGATCGATCGAGCCTCCTTCTCCGGTATCGTCTTGTGCTGCTTCAGATAGAAATCCAAATCATGCCCATCACAGTATTCCAGCACGGTGCAGAATGAGTTGGCATCGATCTCAAACACATCGTACAGTTTGACCACCCGGGGGTGGTCCAGCGCCTTGTGGATGTTGTATTCCCGCAGCGCATGCCTGGAAAACACGAAGTAGTAGTAGATTAAGCATCGATCCCCAGACAAAGTTGACTCCCGTAATGACTCACTTAATATAGTTAGCTTTCTTATCTTCCTTCCAGTCTTTGTTCAGTTGATGCACCTTGCAAGCCACGTACCGTTGCTCCTTCAGGTCGAACGCCTTGTGCACCTCGGAGAAGCCACCCTTGCCCAGGAGCATCAGCAGCAGATACCGATCGTTCAGCACGGGGTGATTGTTGAAGCGTGACTGTAAGAATGAATGACGATTAGAACACTGTCTATTGAAGGGAAAATTGTGACGAACGCACCTGATCCTCGTTGTGTATCCGCTTCAGCTCCCGGATGTGTAGATTCCGTTCCCGTTCGAGCTTCTCCATCTCCAGCTGCAGGTCGGCGTCCTCCTTCTTGAGGGCATTCTGCCGGAGTTTCAGTATCTCGTCGCACTCGTAGTACTCCTGGATGGTGAAGGTGGTATTGCTGCTCACCACCGGGTCCGGCTTTAGGAACGTATTATCGTTGCCATTGTGCAGCGACGAGGCCAGCTGGGTAGCGGCCGAACCGCTGGCAACACCCGAACTGGCTGCCACCGCCGACGACGTGCTGGAGTTGTTCCGCTTCCGACTGCTCTCGCTGTTCGTCGGCCTCTTCTTCATGAGCAATTTCTTCTGGCGATCGATCTCCTCCCGCTCGGCAGTGATCTCCTCCTGGCGCCTGAATTGAGAGGAACAAGAATAATAAGAGTGTGTTGTTTAGAATTCTTACCGAACAGCGGTATACGGTATTGTACTTACTTTGCCAGCTCCTGAAATGCGTAGCCATCGGTCCAATTTTCCTGGAAGGTGGCCCCGACCCGTTGGGTGACAAACTGCCCGAGCCGTAGCCGATTCTGCATGCACCTTTGCCGCGCTTCCTTCTTCTCAATGTTGCTCTTCTGCTTGAGCAGCTTCTTGACCACGTCGATGCACTTGTTGATGTGGCTCTTGTGCTGCTCGATCACCTTCTGGTGAGCGGTGATTTGGCATTTCTGCTCGTCCGATAACCGCGACAGTTCGTCGACCCGTGTCCGGGAGGTTTCGAAATCAGTGTCCCGCTCGACAATGTCCGCCAGGGTGAGGTCCGTCTGGGTCTGGGCGGAGACCATCAGCGGAGCCGGCGGCGTCGGCGGTTGCGACTGTATCAGGGGGGTTGATTGAGCTAACGATTGGGCATTCTGTAGACTGTGACTACTACTGCTAGTGTTGGTACCATTGTTGGCATGATTTAACGACGCTAGACTATTGATGGCTAGTGAAGAGTTTTGGGCCACCAGGGCAGCTTGCGATTGTGCGATCGCTTGCGATTGCGCTGGCTGCTGTGTTGACTGTTGCTGTTGTTGTTGTTGTTGTTGTTGTTGCTGTTGCTGCGACACAACAACGGCCGAAGGAGGCAGGGGAGGTGGAGGTGGCTGAGAATCTCGATCTCGATGCGATTGCTGCTGCTGTTGTTGGACGTTTGGAACGACTACACCACCAGCGGAAACGACAGATGAGGATGAGTTTAGTAACGACGTGGCGGATACTGACGATGGAGGAACTAGTGTGGAAGATACGGCAGCACCGCGCTGGGAACGCACGTAGATATCCTGCGCCGCGGCCGCGCTGGTAAGATTACCACTGGAGGTTACCACAGAACCGAGCTGTGGCTGAGGACTAGGTGGATACATTGGATACTGACCAAGCTGCTGGGGACTGGGACTTTTGGCGGAAATCTGCGGGCTTTGCCCTTGACTCACGCCGACACCACCGCCACTGCCAGGCAGACCGGGCTGTGCCTGCGGGCCAGCATTACTTATTGCTCCTAGGGGACCACCGGCTCCGGTACCGGCCGGATGTGACCGGTGCTGACAGTTGACCGGATGCTTGGAAAAGTAGTCATTAATTTTCTTACTATCGCCTAATGGTGGTATCGACAAACGCGGACCCTTAACACTATCTCTATCACGACCATGCCCACCGACTAAACCTCCTCCTACTACTACTCCTACTCCTCCTCCTCCTCCACCGGGGCCACCGTTATCGTCCGGTGCTTTCCGTTTCCGTTTCCGATCCGACGGCGTCCGGGGAATCTTCTCCGGCGTCGGGGTATTGATTATAGTCTCTAGTTCCTTATCACTATGCGACGACCCGGTGCTCATATTTGAGTCCTGATCTTTGTTGTTGTTGGTGTAGTGTGACTGTTGTTGTTGCTGCTGCTGCTGCTGCTGCTGCAAGCTAGTGAGCGTACCGAGCTGTTGCGGTGCGACCAATCCACCCACTAACGTTGCTTGCGGCGGCGGCGGCTGCTGCTGATGATTGCTGTAGTGCTGGGGTTGCTGCACCGGATGTGGCGGTTGTTGCTGCTGCTGCTGCTGGTGCTGTAGATGATGCGAATGGAGATGATTTTGGCCGACTTGTTGTACTATGGTTGTCTGTGGTGCCATCTGCAATTGAGTACCGGCAGACATCTGGAAGGAAATGAAAAAATGGGAAATGGTTAGTTGTTGGAAAGGAACGTGGAAGTGTTCTTAGCTTAGTATAATACGAAAACGATTATCAACGAAAACGTGTGTATTTCGTTCACGACGAACACCACTATGTTCCTGTGTTGAAACAAAAGCATGGAGTATATACAGTAAATCAAGCTGAATGGACATGGAAACTGGAATTAGTCGCCAGCTGCGATCAATTTGAGTTCAGTTTGGAAACACTCTGGCTTCGTTTGATAAGTTAAACTTAAAGACAATGGGAAAACGCACATGTTGAACACGGAGGTTGTGTTCGTCGTGAATGAGCTTTGAACAGTAGTATATTGCGTAGATTACGATAAAACATGCCGGCTGACTCGATGTTTCTTAGGGGAAGTGTTCTGTCGTCCTTACGAGGTTACTCATGGACCTTCGTCACCGAAATTCACCCCCTCGAGGATTGATTTTCCGTTTGGCTCTTGCCTCGTGCATTTTGGCTGACAATGTTCTTCCTTCTTGTTACTTCAGATATAGTACTGGTTCCGTTTTTGGCATCATAAAAACGATTCTGGAAAGCGTATGCGTACCTAAGCCAAGTGATGACCAAGGAACTTCGACGAAGAATTTGAAGGGCTTTCAGTCAGTCCAGGGTCGTACTGATGATTTTATCCCGATTGGCGAGCATTCCATTTTACGCCTCTGCTCCTGGTATAATTGTTCGGAACTGCTCGACTTATTCCGCTTTGCTTCTATGCAATCTAATAGTGCTGTAAACCATTTCCAAATGAGATCGAAGAAATGGTGTTGACATGAATTTTTAACGGAGACTACGTCTTATGGGAAAGTACAGAGAGTAATCGAACATCTAAAATTGCAACCGCCACGAAAAGGTGTTAGGTTTTGAACGCTTATAACTTTGTGATTTATAGATGAAATTGAGATCCAAATACATCACTCCACTGTCGGGCTGGGACTGATGGTAGCGATGGATGCGATTTGACAGAAGGTTTTTGGAAACAACATCCCTTTCCGCTGCTCTTCCTTTCCCTCCGACCAGCTCGACTATTTGGCAGCAACTGATAGCGACTTCGGCTTGTGTCGTTAGCACCTTGCGGTCGAAGAAAATGTATGGGAAATTTGAATATTTCCATATTTCTTCATTGATAACTATTTAAATATTTAACAATTATTATGTGTGAACGAACACTGTAACACTGGTGATTCGATCGACACACAAATCATCAAAATCCATTGAATATTGGCCAAGTTATTAGCATTAAAAGTCTGACCAATTTTCGTTGCATTTTCCTGAATTGGCACCGTTCCCAAATTACAGTTCCTAGAAAATTTTGAAGGTTCGAACAATTCAAATAATTTTCCATATAATTCTGTCTAAAATACCTATGGAATTTTGAGGACGGTTCAAACAGAAATAAAGTGTTAAGCAGTGGCGCCGCGTGATCTCACTTTTTACCAGTACACCAACTTTGAAATCCTAATATATAGCCATATTTATGCTCAACACGATAGCAAAATACACAGAATCATCTAGTTTGACTGTCTATCTATCCATATCAAGCAATATTTTGAGATTGTGTAACGTTTTGAGAGTTGGTGCACAGGTAGATTGAGGTTAGGGCGACGCCCCTGGTGTCAAGGAGGATTCGAAAGTTTAGATTGACCAGAATTCCAAGATAATTCCGAGATAGTCCTAGGGAATTCTTGCATAAATTCCAATGGATTTCTGGGGAGAAGAGAAAAAGTTCTCAACAGAATTCCTAGGTTATTGTTAGAACAATTCCAAGAGAGTTGTGAGAGGAACTTCAAGGAGAATTGCTAGCTGATTATGAGAAGCATTGTATGGGGATCGTGAGGAGAATAGCAGGTAAATTTAAATGAACATTCCGAGAGTTATACTGAGAATTCAAAGATAATTACAAACCGAATATTGAAGATGATTCATAAAAGAACTTCAAATGAATTTCGAGAAAAATACCAAAGGAATTTGTATTCTGAGGTTAACTCAAATTGTAACGATTGTTTCAAGAAAGAAGAGAATTCCAACGATTTATGACGAAAATTCCAAAGGATTTCTGAAGAGAATTCAGAACTAACTCTGATGATATATTTGACTAAGAGTTCAAAGAAAATATTTCAAAATTAATCGAGTTCTCTGAATAGCATCAAAGGCTTCTACAAAAAGATTCCAAGAATATGATGAGGAGACTTTCAAGGGAATTCAACAGAGATTTCCAAGGTGAGTTTTCTGGTAACGTTAAGAAAAATTGCATGATAGTTCTGAGCAGCAATCCAATCCAAGGTAGTTCTGGGATTAATACCAAGGGAGAACTCAAAAGCATTTCATGATAATTTTGATTTCGAACCTTTAAAAATTCCCGACTAATTTTTAGATAAGATTTAGCTAGTACATTTCTGTTCCCAATGTCCGACAACATGAATAATTGTAATGTAGATGACCTCTGATCGGGATCCAAAAGATAATTCAGAAAATGTCCTGAGGAAATTCTGAGCAGTTTGAGAGATTCCAGGGTTTATGAGGTTTCAAATATCAACACCATCTCATACTAATCCGTACGGACCGCTCATTGCGAGTTGTAAGTTCCAAGTTCGCTGTTTTCGTCATGGTAGTCGCCGTTGACAGCAATTGTATTATGTTTTTATATAAACCGACCGTGAGCATGCATAAGGGCGTAAACGCGATGATCGATTCTCTTCGTCGATTTTCTCTTTTGTTAATAATTCGCTTGGATTGACGTTTCTCGGTGCGCTTGCTGGTGCCTTTGAAAGCCAATACAACCTGTTACAGCACTGCATTGAACAAATTCTAGAAAATTGTTTCGCTTAGCTGTAGCAATGCAAAGAGAAAACCGATGAAGAGAATCGATCATCGCGCATACGCCCTTTTGCATGCTCACTGTTGAAACATATAAATTCATTGGGTAGGGATGGGACCATCAGAGCGCTTATCTTTCTCGTTTCCTCAGAATTCCGTACCTTCGGAATGTCTATGGAGTTCTCATAAGAACTCTCTTAAAACTCTTTTCAGAACATATTAAGAATATTCATTAGAAATAAACCTGTAATCCTCTTTACAACGGTCACTTAAAAAATATACTCAAATCATCTGATTTGGCGTTCTGGTTACAACTCTCTGAGAGTTCTTCCAAACTACCCCCCACACACCCCCTCCCCACACCCCCCCTATTAAGAAATAATCAGATCTACGGAATAAAATTTGAATTCTCAGACAAAAATTTTTGACATAGGACTACGTCTGTGATTTCTATATTGGGGTACATTTTGTGAAAACCGATAATGGAACATGTAACGAAATTATGAAAGATTTTGAACGTTAATAACTCAGCTGCCCCTAGACCAATTTCAATAATTTTATCACCAACCGATCAGAAATATTTCTATGCATCGATTGATGGTTGATTTTCAACAAGAAACTATTGAAAAACTGGTAAATGTCAAGCGTCGAAATAACTAACAAATCCACCAATTACGTATATGCAAATGCTGCTTCCCCAACAGAAGAAATAAGCAAAACGGTAGCAACCAAGCTTGTAATCCTGAAGCAACCGGGCCCAGACTCTTCTGAGTGCCCATTTCTCGTAGCGAAATTGAGGTATCCTTCGCTGCGCCTTTCCAACCACCGGTTTAACCCATGTCCAGCAGCCGCGCCGAGACTCTTCCGAGTGCCCATTCATCGATTTCCTTCGCTACGGCTTTCCAACCTGTCGCAAACACCAGTTCAACCCCTGTCAACCAGCAGACGGGCCAAGACTCTTGCGAGTGCCCAACCATTGGACCGAAGAATATGGGTTTGTCCGGTCCGATTTGCTGATCCAGCTGCGTACACGTCATCATCATCTTGCAAAGGCTTTAAGCCAGTACTACCATTGGCCCTTTTCAGGGCCTCCAAGATTTTCCAAAAGAGTTAAATTTCTGGACAAGTCCCAACTAAAATTCATATCAAAAGGTTTGCTTGCAAAATGGAGTTGATGCCTTTTCAATTATTGGTCTTGAAATGTCAGGTAATTTGGGATTCTAAGGAGAGGTGCAAGAAAGATGCTCAGATCCTCTCAAGGGCATTTTGAGAAGAATTTCAAGGAAAATTCTCATACAATTTTGAGATGATATCAAAAAAAAAAAATGGGAGAATACTTTTCTAAACTCTAACTGACGTACCAAAAGATTTCCGACGAATATTCCAAGCGAATTGTGAAGAAAATTAAGGACAAAAATTAAAGCAAATACGAAGATAAATGTATAGGGCAGATGTAGGTAAAATGTCTTTACTAACATTTGAATCCACAAAGTGAAATACTGCAGGGCGAAATGCGCATCCTGATTTCATACCAAGGAAGCATACATTTCAAGAGCCACATGTGAAAAGGGCATACAAGCTTTTTGTAAACAAACCTTTGTAGGCCCTCTTCTCGCCAACCGAGGGTTGCCCACGCAAACTAACAACATCATCGGGAAGGGGAAACCTTCCCCTATCCGGCGATGTTGATGGTTTGCGTTGGTGTTATATGGGTGGCGGGAAAAAGGCATAAGAATGTTTGTTTACAAAAAGCTTGTATGCCCTTTTCACATGTTGTTCTCGATTTAGGCTTTATCAATGTTCTTCCTCTATTGGATTTTAATGGTTCACGCCCGATGGTTATGCTTTCCACACTACAATTTGCGGGGCGCATTATGGCTACTTAGAAAATACTCACTATTTTTTCTAATAATCATACGAGTTGAGCTATCGAGCCGAAAGATGAAGGATGAACCGAAAAACTTGCATCAATCATCGTTAATTTTGCTTGTGTCTTCAGAGATATCAGCGGTTTCATGAAATAACTTTTCTTGCATGGTTTTCCAATTTTATAAATGTCATATGACTTTCATTAAACAGATGTTTGCCTCCATGCCCATAGTACGTTTAAAGTGCAACGTATGCCAGCAATTTTTCGCCATCATAT